AAAAAATTTGTTGAGTATAAATCAAAAATTATTTTATGAAATTCATTTTGCATATGCTCTATAACCCTAGTGGGTGATCCCCCATATCCTCCCACTGGTGGATCCGCGTATGGTGAGCACGAAAAGTTTTCTAAAAGTCCGAATGATTTATATTTGTTCTTAACGAAGTCTAGGAATGAAATAACAAAAAACAAAGCACCTAAGCCCTTTTCGGACTTTTCACAGTTTCAAGTACCTCAGAGGTTAACCATCTGCCTCCCGTTCCAAAAGTTGTTAGTTTAATTCGCAGCCAATTAGTTTTTTCAGTTGGTGGGTTTTTTTTTTGATTCCTAAACATTGATTTTTTTATAAAACTAGGAACCTATTATTTAAACGTATCGTTACCAAAAAACGTTCACACGCGATATTAGGTCATATGTTAGAGCGCCGGACTTCCATGTTTAATGCACCAAGTTCGGAATTTTTAATAAGTAAGTTTTTTTCAGAATGTTTATTACGCTTTCTAAATTGTACTTACATAAAGTTTTTAAAGTTATTTGCCTCTTAGTCCAGCTGGAAAAATATAGGGTGGTACTTGTTTATCTCAACAGTTCAGTCATAATTTCGAACTAAATGATTAATCCATTCTGCAGTATATTTATAGAAAAGTTGTTGTTATTAGTTAAAATTTAAATATTAAATAAATGAAATTAAGACCAAAGTCAACTTGAAAATGGAACGAAATCAACTCATTTCACTTTTTAAGTTCCTACCATTTCCTTCATGAACTAAAAACATCGAGCTCAAATATGGACATTTGTAAATACACGGTTTTTAAGAACGAATGTCTTGAATTCCAAGAAAAATGTGCTTGGTCTCTTCTCTTTGTTTAGTGAACATACATGTCAAATTTTTACCTACAAATGTGGGCACCTGACTGTTACTAAAATTACACATGCACTCCACCTAGCGGCGATTGCTCATAACTTCTTAATGAATAATCAGATTGGATCATTTCTTGGCATGTATGGATCATTTATATATGAAAAAACATTCTCATTTACACTTTTGCACAATTTTTAAACATGTAATATTGTGATGACAAAATATTCGCTGAATCAGAAGCTTGGAAATCCGCATATAAGATATGTAGCTATTATAGTTTTTAAAACGGATAAACAGACGGAAATGTTTCATACTTTTCATCGAATACAGAATACCCCTTACCTTACCAATACAAAAACAAGGAAGAACGCTATAGTCGAGTACCTCGAATATCAGAGAGAGATATGCAAGCAGCAAAGCGAGATTAAAATGCGCCACCTACCGGTGGTATACAGATTTAAGCGTTATGGGCGTTAGAGTGGGCGTGGGTTTTGGATCAATCGATAGGTATTGACGAGACCAATACATTTCAGTTAAAATTTTTCATCTAGCATAAAAATTGTGGGCGTCACAGGTTTTCGCGGTTTGTGGGCGTTAAAGTGGGCGTGGCAAACTTTTTTTTGGGTCAATCGATAGGTATTGATGAGAACATTACATTTCAGCTAAAATTTTTATTCTAGCATCAAAACTGTAGGAGCCACAGTTTTGGGCGGTTTGTGGGCGTTAGAGTGGGCGTGGCACTCTACTGAAACAAACTTGCGCTGCGTAAGAAGCTCAGGAATCTGCACGCCAAATCTCAATAGCCTAGCTCTCATAGTTTCCGAGATCTCAGCGTTCATCCGGACGGACAGACAGACGGACAGACGGACATGGCTAGATCGACTCGGCTAGTTATCCTGATCAAGAATATATATACTTTATGGGGTCGGAAACGCTTCCTTCTGCCTGTTACATACTTTCCGACGAATCTTTAACTCTACGAGTAACGGGTATAATTACACATTTTTTCGCTGTGTGGTTATACTGCATCTGCAGCTCCTTCTAATACATTTTCAAGACGTTGATGAGCGTGGAGAGAGGAACCGAAATGCCGCCGCGAGTGCGCATGGACTATAAACCGCATTTTTACGTGCCACGGGAATGGGTGAAAGACGCCGGGATCTAAAAGTGCAGCTAACCGTTAAACTCTTTAAGCTGATACCCCGGGGCAGGCGATGGCCAAAAGAGATGTTCCAGGACAGCCACTGCCAATGCAAGTGGCCAAGACAAGCAAGCAATTACTTGGCAATATCTTTGAAATTAAAAATTTGAAATTTCTCGTATAGTTGCGGCTTTGGTATCCAGGTTAAGTGAAGTGAGAAATAGTAAATAAAACGTTATCAGTATCTACAGAATGAAACCCTAGAGGCGGGCATCAGCATTCAAGTATTGCAGCAGCAAAAGTAATACGGAATTCCAGTGCTGAAAATGTTTGACCCAGCGAACCAGCGGAGGTTGAATGAAAAGTTTCCAAGCTCAAAAATACGAACGAAGCTTAATTACAAAATCAGGCTTGTGATGTAACGCTATTTTGAATATTTGTTAAGACCAATAGATGATAGAAGGTTAAACATTCGGTATCAAGTCAACAGAGGTTATTATCGTGTGTCCATGCTTCTGTATAGAACCAATTCCAAAAAACATGTTCATCAATCCTTTTAATAAAAGCCTTAAATATAATAAAGCCAGATATCACATATTCGAAATTCTCATTGCGATTTCCCACTTCACCACACCGCAAACCTAATCCCAATACCATATCTTCATAAGCTGCAGATTGCTTTCTCTTCATATTACTTTTCACACTTTTCTCGTGTCTTGCATGTTTCTCCCTGCATCATATCAACTATCCCACTTCACTAATCCCATTATTTCACACCCTTCCAGTCCGATTTGAAATAAAACTCAACACTTTCTGTCTCCATTTCCATTTCATGTTGCAGCAACATACTTCAGGTTTCTCATCACACCTCCCTCGGTGAGACAGGCGTTGAAAATCTGCCCAATTCGTTTGCTTTGATTACGAGCTTGTTGCAGAACCGAAACCAGCACCGTAACCAGAAACACCTCCAAAGCCACAAGCCCAACTACTGAGCTGGTCAACATTTAGCTAACTATTTTTTCACTCCCGAGCTCCTGTGCCCAACTCCATATCTCGCCATGTTGCTCCTTTTTTGCCAGTCACTTTTAAATTAAGCAATTTGAAATGTTGACCAGGGAATCTTTTCGTTCCTTTTCCTTACTTCCATTCCAGACCGCAAAATGTTGGCCCACAACTTGTGTATAGTGTCACGGGTTGTAATCGCTCGTTGTAGGTGGCTGTAACTTGGTCAGGAACAGGACCGGCGGAGGACCAGTGGCAATAGCAGTAGAGATAGCCCCACCGACATACGGAGGACCCCGAGTGGGGGGCCAACCGTGTCGAAGGATGAGTCGATGGCCAACTAACTACAATTTTTTGATTGCCAGTGTTTTGTAAGCGCGCTGGCCATTTGCTTTACTACCTCAACAACGTCCATTGCCCACCCCCTGGATATCGCCCTTCTAAGGGCGAGCTTCGGTCAGCTCAGCACTGGCCCAGCCATTTTAATTTCACTTTACGGTTTCCAAACACGAAATCCTTTTTGCCACTAGGTGTGCAGCCAGGACTCGTTTTTTATCGTCCTTCCTGCTCCCTCACCCGCAGGTGTGTTTGTTTGGGTCCCCTGTTTGTGGGGTATTAAAAAGTGAAATGGTGGAATCCGAAACCCCAAGCCGACACAGAAGGATGCCAGTCATATGTGTGTACAGAAAGCGAGGGGATGCCAAATTTGAACTGGCATTGGATGGCATGCCTGAGATTCGCCAAGATTGGTCTCGGCCTGGGTTTTGGCTAGGGTCGATTAGGTACGCTGCCATCCGCCTTGGGTTACGCCATGATGATCTAAGCACATCTATTTAGCTCTTTATTTTTTCGGAATAAACGCCAAATTATTTAATCGGTTTACGACGCTCTTCCCATATGAATACCCCTCTTATGTTTATAGGAATTTAAATAGGCAATCACAAAAAATCAACCAGAACGGCAAAAGATCCATACGAAAACGACGTCGACGGCAAGAGGATGGTAAATAAAATAAATAAACTGCGAAGGCAATCTCAATTGAAAGCGACAATATTGTTTTTAATGATTTTCATGGCCCAGACGCAGCGCAGGAATCTTTCCGGGGGAGGAAAATCTTTTTATTTGGCTTTTTGGCTGCCGAAGGGATTGGAGCCGGCGGAAAGCGGAAAAACGAGCGGAGAGAAAGGAAAATAACACAAAGCATATGCGTGGGTGGCTCCAGCCACAGAGCAACAAAGGCCATGGAAAATCAACAAGGAAGAGGAAAATACAAGGCTGGGAAGTGGCCCCCAAATATCTCCCCCGATTGCGTGGCAGGAAATCTTTTTGGCAAACGTATGCTAAAGATAACAATGCAATTTAGCCACTTACTGCATTAGCTTATTAGAGTATGTCCCCAAAAGTGTAGCCCACACTGAATAAGCTGCCATCACATTTCCGCAACCGATTTACATTCGAATATTTGCTGAATCAGCGCGGAATCATCATCATCATCAGGAGCAAGTGACCACAGCAAAGTTTACGGGGTAAACAAGAAGCCAAAGACTGGTGATTGAGCAGTTCAAAGTTTCTTAGCCAAAGTTGCGCTTAAGAAATCAAAGTAACTTTCCCCACTATTGCAAACGCCCTTCCCCAAAGTTGGGTATATATGTCCGTATCTGTGTACTTTTTTCATCAACTGCTATATAGTTATTGAAAACTTTCTCCGAAACGTAGAACTTGCCAGTTTAACAACAACTGACCAACTGCCTGGACGAGGACCACTGAATACCCAATGATGTCGAAACTAAAGTAAGTTTGGTGTATTAACATTTCGGGGTTATGTATCCATTCCTAACTTTAAAATAAAATGTTGCAAAGTCAAAAAATGTAATTAGGTAATTTAATTTAAGAAATCGATGATATTGGCGCTTTTACTAGGTTCGCTTGAAGAGTTAGTTTAGTTTCAGTGACGGACAATCTTAATCTTAATTTAAGTCATTATGATATTTTATTAGACATTAAAAAATTTCTGGCTGACCAACGGACAATTGCCCAGGCATGCGTGTTGTGTGTATCCTCCCAGGGCAACATCCTCACCAGCAAAATTGGCAACAACTGCAGCACAGCACAGAACAGCACCGAACGGGACGGAATGTGCTGATGGGTTGGACTGAGCCAGTGGAGCGGTCAAGGTGCAGAGGTGGCCAGCTGGTGCAGCCCAGCAGGCTGCACTTGTTTAATTAAAAAACTTTCGTTGCTGATTTTATTAGCCCTCCAGCTCAGGACTAGGAGCTCAGCTTTGAGGTCCTCTTGGAGCGGGGCTCCCTGACCGGCTTGAGGGCGGTGTAGGGCCCGATGAGCTGCTTGCTCCGCTTGACCGTGTACTCCAGGGTCTCCTCGCTCTGGTGCCACTCGACCGAGGCGAAGAAGACGAAGCCCGCGCGCTCCGCCTTGCGGTAGGCCAGCAAGGGTCCCCGGGACCCAAAGTCGTAGTGCAGCGGGCGGGGTCGATCCGAATCGATGGAGTTGAGGATCGGCGAGAATATCCGCCAGATCTCGCACTGCTCGTCGGTGCGCATGAAGAGGGTCTGGTCGCCCTGGAAGACGTTCAGCAGGAAGCCGGGGAGGCCCTGGATGCCCTTTGGCCCCCGATCGTCCACCCGCAGGTTGATCTCGCTCTCCCGGAGGCAGAGGTCCTCGCCGTGCCGCTTCAGGCGCATGCGCATGAAGACCTCCTCCGTGGGAAAGGACCGCAGGACCAACTCGTTCCGCACGTCCGCACTGTCGCTGTGGAAGGAGTCGCAGTCCACCGGCTTGTACTGGATGCGCACCTCCGACTTGCTGTCGTTCAGGGCCTTCCCGGCCCGCAGGATGAAGGGCACACCGGACCAACGGCGGTTGTTGATGTGGAGCACCAGAAGGGCGAAGGTGGGCGTGAACGAGTCCTTGGGGATGTAGCTGTGCTCCGTGTAGCCGCACTTGGCCGGGTCCTCCTCCCGCCGGTTGTTGCGGTACTGGGCCAGCACCACGTCGCCCATGTTGGGGGTCAGCACCTGGCGAAGCACCTTCAGCCGCTCGACCCTCAGGTCGTCGGCCGTGTTCGCATACGGCTTATCCATGGCCAGCATGGCCATCACCTGGATCATGTAGTTGGTCATCAAGTCGCGTATGATGCCCATGTGATTAAAGTAGTCTGCCCTGCTGGCCGGCACCGGGAGATCGCACTTCACTGATATCATCACCGCCGCCACGTGGCGGTTGTTCAGGGTCTCGCCCCACAGGTGGTTCGAGTAGCGCAGGGCGAAGAAGTTCTGCATCACCTGACGGCTGAGGAGGTGGTCCATCAGGTAGATCTGCGACTCCCGGAAGCTATTGCAAAGGGACGCCTGGAAGACCCGGTAAGAGACGTCGTCCCTGGCGAAGGGCTTTTCCACAATGATCCTGGTCCAGCCGGTGGGCGAGCTGCACTTTCGGCTGGCATTGAGCGTCACCTGGTCGAAGACGACCGGCGGCAGGGCCAGGTAGAAGATCCTGTTCGCTCGCACCTGGTTGTGCTTCGCCTCCTGGCGGACCATCGCCTCCGTGAGGGCTGCATAGTGCTCCGGCTTGTCGTACTCGCCCTGCAGACAGTGCACGTTCGTCCAGAAAAGGTTGTACTTCTTCGGGTCCCGGTTCTTGTCGAGATCCATGTAGGGCAGCACCTGCAGCCGATAGGCCTTCGTCTGGAGCGGACTCCGGCAGAAGGTGAAAATCTTGGTGCCCTGCGGCAGCCGATTTTCCCGATAGAGGGCCCAGAGGGCTGGGAACACCTTCTGCTTGGCCAAACCCCCCGAGGCCCCGAAGACCACGAAAGAATAGGCCATCTCGTTGTGCGGGTCAATGGGGATCATTTTGGAAAATTTAATTAAAATTTAATTTGTATAACAGAAATAAGAATAACTAGTTCAAAAAATGGCCAAAAATGTTGATCAAAATTTGTTTAAGGTCAACGAGAGTTATTGCCTGGATATATAGACTGCCTACATAAGTAAGCCAACTTTTATTTACAACAGATAAGAAAATAATTAATGTGGTTGATTGATTAATTGATTAAATAAATTAATTCATTTCTCTTAAAATTTATTAGCGTGGCAAACTTCTGGCTGAAATCAATCATTGAAAGCAATTTATAAAATACATTTTTAAAAACAACACTTTTTCTACAACATCTTGCTTAGAATAAATTTGTGTTGTTGGTGTGTCAATGGCTGCTCAAATTAATCTAGAAAGGAAAAGCAGTGAAGTTTTGTTAAATTGGTTCCAAGGTCAATATCAAAGTAGTAAAAATCAAGGTGAAACAAAGCCGAGATTCAAGACCTTATGTATAAATATAGCATAACTTATAGATTTCGTAGCAAATTTTGGGGCCTTTCACTGGGACTTGTTGGCCAATTTTCTTATGTATAAAATACAAATACAATAAATTATTGTCAAGAATTTCTCAGTCATCGACGAGATGGATGTTAGGTAAATATTCAGTCTTTATGCAGGTAAGTTCAAAATCTGCTTAGGGACTGCTTTTAAACGAATAATCAATATGATTTAAACGTATTTCCCGACTGTCAAATAATATTTTTTTAGCCACCAGTACTCAGGTCACTAATCTGGCAAGGGGATTTTAACTCGACATGCTGCGGAACGGAAATTGTCTGGCCCGGCAGACAACTGTTTGGAGCAAGGATTGACTGGCACTAAGCCTCAAGTTTCCCATAAACACGTAAGAGATTTTCAGTTGCCTCCGGCTGCCCTGCAATTCAAATTCAATCAATTCAAATTCCCTAAGCCACCGTTTAAGTGCGAGCGAGGGCCCAAAGGAGCAGGATTGCAGTGGCATTTCTTTTTCCTTGCGTGCCCCACACGATGTGAGTGCAGCTAATATGTAGGGGCTCCTTTTGCGATTCCAGTCCTCCGTCACCCCGAACAGAGCACTCGAGAGCTTGGTGGACGGACAGGACCTTTGATGCTCAAATGGCCGGGCTTTTTCAATTTTCCCGGGGCAGAGCCGTATTGGGAACGTGACCTCCGAACAGAAGATCCCCCATTTTGGCTGTCAAAGAAAAAGGTCCTGATTGGAATGGGCTCATCCCCTTTCCATTTATTCAATCACGCAGGATCATTAAATACACAACGTTCTACGCTGCAGCTGCAGTTGTTGCCGCGGCTGCCGCGGCTGCCGTTGTGGCTCCTGCTGCAGTGGTCTTCTTTTTCTTGATGGTTCTAACGCATTTCTTAGTCTTCGGGTTGTACTTAGCAGGGGCCTTACACTTCCTTACTGCTTTGGCCTCTGTTTCCACGGCGAAGCAGCACATAAGCAGCACCAGCGTGACGATGCAAAGGCCTACCAGAGAGATCTTCATAGCTCAGCGGGTCCAGGTGGTCTAATGGGAGTTTTCCGCGGTGACGACGTTTCATTATCCATTCGCCATGTGAATCGGTGGATCTAAGCCTGTTAAACGGCTGACATTTCACGGTACCTTATCGACGGATGGTTTGGGTTACTTAAAGCCTTTCCATTAAATTCCTACAAGGGGTATACATATTTGTGTAGCAGTTTGGAACGTATATAAAATAGTTTCTCATTTTATAATTTCGGCACTTAAATATGTATAAAATTTATTTTTTAAGCAAATGAATTATGAAATTAGATCTACCCATAACTTTTCTCCCTTGACCAAGCAACAACCGAACAACAAAAAGTTAGAAAAAAAAAAGAACTAGAAACGCGTTCTAGAAAAACAACTGGAGAAACGTGCCGCACGAATCGAAATCAGGACTAATTTAATGCCGCGCTTGAACTTCTGGTTTCCCCCATTTTCTGACCGAGTTCCTATCACTGTCCTTATACGTGCCTGTTAAACTACGCACAATCAATATGGAAGGAGTCATGCAGAGATTAGTTGCCAGGAGATGGAGTTAAGCCCCTCGTATTGGACATCTTGAGCTGCAATGGGATGTTGTTGCCGCTGTTAATTGGCTTTGTTTACGAACTAACCCCGAGCACCCTTGATACTCACAATCTCCCTACAAAAACGTCTCACGAATGTTAGCTATATCCAACTGCCATTCCAGGCACACCTGGCGTATGCTTGTTATTTTCCCATAATCATGGTCGAGCATTGGTCAAGTGAGCTTGTATTTACAACTAATTGAGGCCGAAGACTCACATTTCAATAAGATAAGTCTTATTCAATGGGCAGGTATCCTTGGGATAAATTCCAGATGAAGTGCTTTCGAAATAAGGATTAATTGGCCAAGTGCGAGGACAACAACAGCAGAACAAATTAAGTTAAGGATGCCATAATGAATTGACAAGGCACTAATAGATTTAATTATAGAATTTGAAAAACAGATTGAAATAACATAAAATCTTATGGGCATATTATTGGTCCTTGCAGTTTCCTTGATATTTTCTATGCCATTAATGGCTTAATGGCTGCTTACTTATGAATTTTATTACGTAAATTAAATTATTTCCAATCATTAATGAGGTTATCCATTTATTATTTTAGTTTTCAAATTTTTAAAAAATCATTTGGTAGGAGTAGAGATCAAAGGTCTCAATTTATAATCGAAAGTGCCAGCAGATACAATGTTATAAATGAGCACAGCCACTTCTAAAATATGTGTGATTTGTATGAATTCGCGTCATGGATAATGGTCAGACAAACGACTTGAATCATCTCGGATGCGGCACATCCCCCAAGTCTTGACCTTTTCAATGACCCAGCAAGAGCCAATTCCAGCCCTCAATTCATTGCGGCTCTTTCGGTTTCTTTTTTGCTCAGTGGGCCAACTGGCGCCCCTTGAAAGTCAATTTCAATCAGCAAACAAAGGAAATTTCTAGGCCAGAACATAAACACAAACAAAAGTGGTCAATGAGCCCAAAACAGGAAGAGCCCCGGATGGATGGCCTAGCCAAAGTGGCTGATGCAGGGAATATGGAGGAGCCTGGTGCGGCCGAAACTTTGCTAACGATTTATGCACAGGCTAAACATTCTAAGCACACGCATAAATCAGGGACACAGGCCAAAGAAACGAGGTCGAATATTCGGCAAACGGTTCTTAAAGCCAACGCTTTGAAATGACCCCAGAATTGGATCAAGTTGGGAGGGCTTTTTTGTGCCGATGATGTGTGACAGTTTGTGGCAAATTGAAAATACATGGGTGGGTGAATGTGAATGTGGTAGGGGAAGGGAAACGGACAGCGACTTAGAGACACCATTAAGCTCATAATTGCCACATGAAAATAGGCCCGAATCCATAGGCAGGCCGGGCACCCAGATATGTGCCATCTGCCACGAGTTTATTGTGGTTTATTTGCTTTCATTTGCTTCGCTTGGATCACATAAAATTTAATTAAATTGTTTTATTGCATTCAGGCCAAATGGAATTTCTTGAGCCTACTGCCATCAACTTCAGCGATTCGTTGGCCAACAAGCCGCACAAAAGAAGCGAAATGAAAGAAATCCCTGTTCGCATAATTAAAAGAAGCCGCAACTGGGACTCCAACATTTGTGTGGCTAATCTTTTATGAGATTCCGCAACCACAAAAGCGAATTCTTTCGGTCCGCATTCATCAGATGAATCAAGATATGTTAGATTCGGAACATCTTCATTTGTTTGCTATTCCACTGATCCAAGAACTTCCTAATATCACGAGAAACCTTTGATAAATTGGCTCAAGTACGTTGTCACCTAAAAAAATGTGTTTTCCAGGAATCAAATAGGTTGCCTCTGCTAAAATGGTTTATTTCAAGAGTAATCCAAAATTCCGACTTGCATGTTGACAGTTGACAAGCCTTTAATAGGCAGTTGACCTTTGAACGCAATACTTTTGGCGATTTCAACGGTTATTCATTTCATCGGGGGAATCTAAGACTGGACAGGAAAATTGTTGGGGGAGGTCAGTGAAAATCGATACAACGAGGTGCGCTGACGGCTAAAAGTGGTGGAGGAACAATACCACTGAAATTGAATAAATAACTACATTTCAAGATAATTGTGCTTCGCAGCGAAAGTTGTGACCTTAAAGCTACCGGAAGAAACTCGTGTCCCACTTTCAGGCGCTACGCTTTCACAAAGGGCTAATGGCACACAAAGAGGGCCAAAATGAAAGGAACTCATTGGCATATCTACATATTTCTGGTTCAATGCATTGCCAGAACGCACACACAGATACAGCCGAGCAGCAACCCAAAACACAGAATAGCAAACAAGCAGGCAAACATCTCTGGCGATTATGCAGTGAAAAAGAGCGGCACCGGGAAAAGTCGGAAATGGACTGGCTGAAGGGGAACAGCGTGGAAATCCTCCGCAGGGCAGGCCAACCGAAAGTATTCGAAAGATGCCAATTCATTTGTGCCATAAACAACTACAAACACAATCGGATGGCAGCAACAATAAAGCAGGGACAAGATACTGGATATTCCGCACGGGGATATAGAATGCATATGCATATGCACACTGTGCATTGGCCAACTATCGATCCAAGCCATTGTAATTTGCAACTTTTCATTTTCCATTTTTTGCGACCGAAGATAAATTATTATTTGTTGGGGGTTGACAGTCGAAGTGAAAAGTGAAATAATTTGTGGATTTTCCATTCGGGTCAAATTAAGAAAATTGTTTCCGGGTTTGCATAAATTCTTCTTTGGTAACCATTCAACTGTTAATATTGAAAGGAATCAAACAAGGAAGTATCTTGAAAGGTAAAGATTGTTTTTACAAATTCTTTCATTATTTTAAAGGGGTTTTTATGTGACCCAATGCGTTTGTTTTTTCTTGCTTATGCCGACCAGTTTGGGAGTGACACAGAACAATAATACGAAAGCAGACGATTCCGTTCGAAAGGATTTCTGTTTCACCATTGGTTATTCCTTTCAAAAAATTTCAGCTGTTAAAAAATATCCCACTACATGGATGTTTGAGCTACATGGACTGGAATTTTTACTCATTAAGAATCAATCGATAGT